GCTAAGCATCTCAAGAGCTTGGCGTGCCAAAAGATTACGATTTGGCCCCTGGATGCCGCTTCTTTGAATTTCGTGACTATTTCTGACGCTGGCGGTCCCGGGTCCGCTCGAAGAAATGGGGCCCAAGGCGGATGGCTCGTGTGTGCGGCCGACGCGTCCATTCGGCAGAATGTGAGGTCCCGGGTCTCTTTACTCTGTTGGCGTTCCGTCAGACTGAAGCGTGTAGTTGCCTCCACGGGGGCCGCAGAGACTCTGAGTTTGAGTGCTGCACTGGCCGAGGGCCAGTGGCTCGCCATCATGTGGCGAGATTTGCTTTTCAATGACGTGTGCAAGCCAGACTGGCACCTCTCGCAGGCTCCTTTCTCCGTCGTGCTGAGCAGGGATTGTACTCTGTCCGAGGGAGTGAGTTCTCTTTCAGTCGTTGACGCGAAGTCGATCTTCGACACTCTGTCTCGCAACAGTGCAGGCTCACGTCAAGACAGGAGAACGGCGATTGAGCTAGCAGTCGTGCGTGACAGTCTTTCAGCTATCGGCTCTCAGATTCGATGGGTCCCTCACGGCCGCATGGCGGCGGATTGCCTCACGAAGGCCGACCCTGCCCGGGGGAACGTGGCTCTCTCAGATCTTCTCAGTCGGGGTTCGATCGTGCTTGTGGATGAGGAGGGACACATGAACGAGAGAGCTCTCAATAACGATTTGAAGTGCCGCTCGCGCGCCTCCTCCCGTCAGGCTCTGAACCAGCCGGGAGACGGCTACTGGGTCGGGGATCAGGCTGGGGTAGGCGGTAGGGGTGCGGAGGAGGGCAGGAGTTTCGGGCCGCTGTCAGATCCACTGAAAGTAGTCCCGTTGTGGTCGTGTTCCCACTCCCCTCCTCCCTACGTGTCCCTTGGATCTGACCGCAGCCTCTTGGCTTAAGGCCGCCGTGTTGGCGGAGTTTCACAGTATCGTATCGTGGTGTTCAGAGGCGTGCCTCGGAAAACTCAATGCCCATCTCAGATTAACTCGTTATCTTTCGCCCTCTTCAATGCCCGACGGAGACGATCTCAAGCCTGCGCACCCCCTCCGCCCCGACGCCTTCACTTCGTTGCGGCACCGCCCCCTCCGCCCCGACCCTTTTCTTTCGGCGCGGCACCGCCCCCCCCTGCATCCCGCGCGCCCCCCCCCGCATCGCCCCGCCCACCAGCCAGCGCGCCCCCTCCGCGCCGACCTTTTTTGAATTTCGGCGCGGCACCGCGCCCCCCCATCCCGAGCACCCCCTCCATCGCCCCATCCGCCAGCCAGCGCGCCCCCTCCGCCCCGAACCCTTCATTTCGGCACGGCACTGCTCCAGCTCCCCCCCCGCATCCCCCGACACACCGGCCAGAGCGCCCCTTCCGCCCGATGTGTTTATCATCTTGCACAGCTGTGCTCTAGAGCTCTCAACTTTTTATTTTCGTCGTCGTTCGCCGTCGTTCGAATCCTTGGCCATCTGGGACCCCCCTGGCCCCATGCCCCACACACCGCTCCCGCAAGGCACGAAGAGACCCCGAGATAGCACCACGACGGCTACAACATGCCACCCCTCATCGTCATCCACCCCGTGCAAGAGCCAAGGCATGCGTGCCACTTGTTTAAACGACGACCAAAGCGTGCTGGGAGCGCTACGAGGTCCCCGGCGGTAGCCAGGTTGACGATTTACCGCCAGCGCCCAGTCGTCGCCAGTGTCGTCGTGGTCGTCGTCGTCACCGTCATCTTCGTCGTTGGCGTCGCCGTCGTCGTCGAGGATCGAGCGATGGTCGAAGTTTTTTTGCCGACGTCGTCAGTGTCGTTGTCGTCGTCGCCGCATCCGTTGCGTTTGTTAACGTCGCCGTCGCCTTCGCTGTCGACGTCGTTGTCGAAGGAGGATCAAGATTGCTTGGCGTCTCTGGGCTTTTTGGGGCCCCCGCGGGGCGTTGCCGATCCGCCTCCCTGTCAGAACGTGCTTTAGGACAGGTCGGGGGAGGTTATTTCGAGGGCGGGGCGGAAGCGTCGTCGGCAGATCGTTTGTTGTTGCGTGATGTTTTGGAGCAGTTAGGTGGTTCTGGGTGTCCGAGGGAGACTTGAATGGGGACTGGGCGTTTCTTAAAAGGGTTATGTCGGGGTTTAGGGAGGTGTTGGGAAGAAGGGCGAGGATGAGGTGTGAGGGGGAAGGGGGAAGGAAGGAGTAGCGGCAGCAGCAAGCAGCAGCAGCAGAAGGATAATATTTATAGAAAGAGGGGGATGAGAAAGCGAAGGATAATGATGTTATTGCTTTGGTTCGTGTCTTAAGCCAGTGTGGAGAGATTTGTGCGCATTGTTTCATTTTTTCCGCCCTGCGGATTGGAGCGAGAGGCTATCAGATCGCATGGGGCATAGCGTGTCGCCGGGGCCGCCGCCGCGACACGCTAAGCAACAGTTCCTGACCGTACAGATTTGACTCCGCAATTTTACGTACCCGATGATCATCAGGACGTGTGTTAGACTAATGCGCGCGCGCGCGTGTGTGTGTGTGTGTGTGTGTGTCCACGCGCGTCTCGCTCTCACTCGACTTGTACTTCGCCGCGACGCCAAAAAGTGTGCGCCTTCACTCCGCACGGGCCCACCGATAGCACGAGGTCTGTCTTGGCCCTCATGACACCGCCTGCATCGCACTTGAGGGCACCGCTGAACAAACGCGCGTTGGCGCCAACGCGCGATGTCTCACGACGCCATCATGTCTGGGTGTTCGCCCCCTTCCTCCCCCGTCTCCTGGGACACCCTCCGACATGATTTCTGTTCTCCGATGCGCGGGCCCAGAGGCCCCCGACACCGCACCTGGGGGGCAGCCTCCCCACGGATCCATGCCTGCTGGCCTCCGGGGCCCGGGCACGGGCCCCGGAGGCCGCTGCCAGGAAAGCTTAAGACGACTGTGGACCGTGGGCGGAGCTCTGCGTCGCCGTGCCCCCCTGCTGCGTCGCCCTCTGCCAGCGCCCTCCGGGGCGGGCAGCCGGCATTGCCCCGCCGCCGCCGCGCGCGCCGGGGTGCCGCCGCGCGGCCGCGCCGCTCGGCGCTGCTCCTCGGGGGCCCGCCGAGGCCGGCGCGTGCAGGGGCCCCCTCCGTGGCCTCTGCGCGGCGCTCCTCGGCCCCGCCCTCCCCTGCCTGGGCTGCCGCCTCGCCGCGGGTCGTCTCCCGGTGGCCCCCTGGGGGCTCCGCGATGGTAAGTCGGGCCTGGCCCTCGACAGGGGGAGTATTCAAAAGTAGGCAAAAAGGTAGTCTGGGGATTCTCATTTGAGTATTTTGGGGCATCTTTTGAATACTTCTTGGCGTATTCTTTATTTTTCTTCGAAAATCCCCTGGTATAGGGGGACACGCCCGACTTAACGCTGTGGGGAGCGCTCCCCCGGCTCGTGCCAGAGGCGGCCAGCCTCTCAAATGCGTGCGCCACGCCGCGGCGACGGGAGGCCTCCCGGAGGCGCCCAGAGGTTCAGAAGCATCCCGCGTCCCGAATCCTCGATCCTCGTCGTCGTCGTCGTCGTGCTCCTCCTCCTCCTCCTCCTCCTCCTCCTCCTCCTCCTGCTCCTCCTGCTCCTCCTCCTCCTCCTCCTCCTCCTCCTCCTCCTCCTCCTCCTCCTCCCCTTCCTCCTCCTCCTCCTCCTCCCCTTCCTCTTCTTCCGTTCGCTCCGATTCGATCTCGGCGCTGGCCGGCCCGATCCGATGCGGTCCCGATCCCTGGGCGATACGAGGCGGCCCAGTGCTTGCGTGGGGCTGGCGTGCATCCTGGCGCCGCCGATCCCGTTGCGAGCTCCGGGCCGATGCGCGGCCCGACTCGATGCGCGTTCCGATGCGATCCGATTTCCCGATTCGATGCTGGCCGTTCGCAGCTCGATCACCGATCGGGGAGCCCCCGTGGTCCAGCAGCAAAGGCCGCTCTGGCGGAGCGGGGGGCCACTCCTGCGTGCGGTGCAGCCGGCCTTCTCCCTCCAGGAGCTCGGCCTCCGCGAGCCAGCGTGCTTCTTCAGCGGGTGCAGGCACCTCCGGAGGCGTCCCAAGAGGGGGAGTCGCGAGAAGCATGGGGCTCAGGGTGCCGCAGCTGCGGGGCGGCGCGCCCGGTTCCACAAGAGGAACCCAGCGCGGCCCGAAGTCGGGGACAGTTTCCTGGGCAGGTAATTAGCTGCGGTCAAGAACTGCTGGAGCAAAGAGAATCAAGGAGGAGGGCCGATCAAGGAGGACCGAGGCTCGAGGATGCTTTGGAATTCGAGAATCCTGGGGGGGACTCGAGGTCCAGGTGGGCCCGTTTCTTGGGACGCGGGGGTACGGTCAGGAACCTTCGCTCCGCCGGTTCTGGCCCACCACACCCCTGCACGACCCGCTATCCGCTTCCCCATGTCCAAGCGACAGAGTCCCGAGCCTTTCCGAGCCTTGCGCCCCGCGGGGCGGAGCGAGACGCTATTCGCTGACAGGGCATGGAGTGTCGCCAGCCCCGCCGCGGTGACACGCTATGCAGAAGTTCCTGACCAAGGAAGGCCGCAAGTAAGTGTGATGTGCGCGCGCTACTTGTCATTGATTGGCGTTGCTCGGCATGGATTGGCTATGCTTGGTGTTGTGTGTCACTGCTTTTGCGTTGCATGGTATCGCTTGGCATTGCGTGGCATTGCATGAAATTGCAGCGCGTTGCTTGGGATCGCTTGGCATTCCCCCAGGGATCCAAGCAAGGGGCCCGCCCGAGGAACCAGAGGAACACCGAGGAATTCATCGAGGAGCCCAAGCAAGGAAACAAGACCAAGGAACCCAGAACCCCGAGGAGTACACGCCGTCGAGGACCAGGGGCGCGAGGACCCCCCCGGGGAAGCCTCCGAGGAAGGCTCCTTCACAAGCCGACAGGGACCCCTCTGGCAACGCCTGCCTGGGGGAAGACACGCCTCGACTGCCCACCGCCTGGGATGGCGACCCGCCGCCACCCACCCCGCTTCGACGACGGTGACGGTGACGACGACGCCCCCCGCCCCCTCCCGGGCGCCTGGCCGCAAGCCGCCCCGGCCCCGGGGGTGGCCCGCGCGGCCCGCCCGCACCCGCGGGGCCATGCCGGCGCCATGCGCTGCGCGGGGGAGGACCTCGAGCCCCTGCGCCGGGAGCTGGAGGACCGGGAGGCGCGGCATCGCCCGACGTGGCCCCATCCCCGCTGCGACGACCCTGCGGCGGCGACGGCGCGGGCGTCGGCGTCGGCGTCGGCGGCAACGACGACGAAGGCGCCGACGACGACAGCGGCGACGACAACGGCGACGGTTGCGATGGCGACGGCGACGGTGACGGCGACGCCGACGGCGCCTGCGACTGCGGCGGCGACAACCACGGCAGCGACGGCGACGAGCCCCTGCGGCGGGAGCTGGAGGTTTTGGAAGCGCGGCATCGCCTGACCTGTCCCCGTCTCCGCTGGGCCATGGCATGAATGTTCGCGTCGTGAGGAAGCAATCAGCGCGGATGGTTTGTTGTTGCTTTCGGCCTCTCGGGACCCTTTCGGAGCCTCGAGGCCGTCAACAAAAAGACTCGGGATGAAAAACCTGTCACGGAGGGGAGTGGTCGAAAGGTCGGGGGCTCGTGTCGTGAAGAAATCGAGGCGCCGGATGTCCGGCGCCTCGATTTCTTCACGGTCGTTACCACGGGGGGGGGTGACGGTAACGCCTAGGCGGGGTGGGGCACGTCGGGGCGGGGGTTGCGCGCGAGCACCAGCAGCATGCGTGGGGGGTCCAGCCCCTCCCCTCCCCACCGTACGATCGTTGCCGTTAAACGAGGGGGCGCGGGTAACGAAGGTTACGCGCCAGAGGCTAATCATGAAGCCCGCTGGGCCATGGTATCTGTCACCCCCACCAGCCCACCCGATCCTATGGGGTGGGATCCTCAAATAGGTTCCACGAAGCCCGAAGCAACAGGTACATACCCTTCGATCCGACGTTGCGAAAACACAGCTGCAGCGCGAGAAATCGTAGTCGGAGACGCAAGCCCCGTCTTTCTGCTGCATGTTTCGAGCCGGATCGAGCTGCGATGCTCCCAGGGGCCCGAAACGGGCGAGCAGAAATGCAACGCCTGAATCTCAGGGTATTCCACCCAGGGGCCAAGGCCACGCCCACCTGGAGGCCGAGGCCACGTCAGCGGGGATACCCATACGTTCCACGATCTGTTGTTTTGAACCCGCGGGCCCAGAGCCCCCGGACTCCCCCTCCTCGGGGTCGTTTTTCGTCCTGGATCCGTTTGTGACGGCCCTGGGGGTCAGACAACGGGTTCCTGAGGCCAAAATCGACTAAAGCCACCAGTATTTCCAAAATCATGTAGTCGGTGATCTGGTCTGGAATAGTTCTCGAGGCATAACTCGGGCCTCCGGCGGTCGTCCGGGACGATGCATCCTCGACGAGGCGCAGCCGCTGAAAAGCATCCCGAGGCTCGACAACCTCCGCGAGCCCACGAGAAATCCGAAAACGTATGGTAATCGAGTAGATGTGGGTCCGGGAAGCCGACGTCGAGGAAAACAGCGCGATTGGACAATGGAAGCACGTCGGAGCTCTGGGGGCCAGTTGGTAAAGCGATGCTCCGAAGCTCGGCTGGGCTCGCTGCGCCCAGACACGCACGCGTGTCGATACTAGGTCCAATGCGTTGGGCTGGCCGCCACCCTCCTCATCGTCCTTCTCGTCGCTCTCATCCGTTTCATCAACGGTGCGAGCGGAAACCACTGCGTACCAACAACAGATTGCCATCGAAACAGCATAGAGGCGACACACGTCATCGGTCGGAGCTCTTGGCCCCCTGTGGTGTTTGGGTCATCGGGCCTCTGGGACGGCCTGGGCACCCCCGGGACGTCCTCGGCGAGGCGCAGCCGCTGAAGCGCATCGACCCTGAGGCCGGGAGACATCCGGGTATCCGCGAGGATCGTCCGAACGCGTCTAGGAATCGACGATACCTCGGGAGGAGGAGGAGGAGGAGGAGGATGAGGAGGAGGAGGAGAAGGCGGAGGAGGAGGAGGAGGAGGAGGAGGAGGAGGAAGAGGGAGGGAGGGAGGGAGGGAGGGAGGATGGAGGAGGATGGAGGGAGTGATGGAGGAGGAGGAGGAGGAGGAGGAGAGGAGAGGAGGAGGAGGAGGAGGAGGAGGAGGAGGAGGAGGAAGATGAGGAGGAGGAGGAGGAGGAGGAGGAGGAGGAGGAGGAGGAGGCTGTTCCGGGTCGGGCGAGGGGAGGGGACAGGGGGACACGAGGGCCGCGCGATCTGCGGCGCGCCGGCTGGTTTTGGCCCCGCCACCGCCTGCCTCGGCAGCGGCCCTGGGGGACGGGGAGCGGTGGGAGCGGTGCTCCGAGGCGCGGCTGGGCGCGCTGCACCCCGACACGCTGGAGTCCCTGGGCGCGCTGGGGGCCCGCCTCGCGGCGCTGGGCCTCCGCGAGCAGGCCGCGCCGCTGCTCCGCAGGGCCCTCGAGGGGCGCGAGGCTCCGAGGTGGGAAAGCACGGACCCCTCGGTATCGCGTGTTTGGTTGACCCCAAACCCAGACCCCCTCGAGTCATGAAAAAATCACGACGGGAGGTTTTTCATGATTTTCGGCCTCCGGGGGCCCTTACCGGCCCTCGGGAGCGTCAAAAAACGACTCAGGACGAAAAACCGGTCCTGGGGAATGGGTCCAGACCGCTGGGGGTCGACGTCATGAAAAATTCATGACGTCGGGGTCTGGGAAGGGTGTCCAGCGAGAAGAGGGCGGTGCAGCAGATCTGGTGCATCAGAGTCTTGGGGCTGCGGTATAGATTTGGGGCGTGCGATACCTTCTGGCGCGCCAATGTGTAGCTGGATTTTCGCGTGCAATGCATTCGTTGCAATGCAATGCAATGCAATGCATTTTTCCGGCGCTATACATTTGCAATACAATTGGCCCAAATCTATTGCAGCACCCCTTTTCAGTTAGACCCCCCTTTGGGTCAGCCAAAATTTGCCCGACACCGATCCCCGATCCCCATCCCAATCCAGAGCCCCGCCATCTCGGAAACCCGGTTGGGGGCAAGAATGCCCTCCTCCTCCTCCTCCACTTCTCCTCCTTCTCTTCCTCCTTCTCCTCTTCCTCTTCCGCCTCCTCCTCCTCCTCCTCCTCCTCCTCCTCCTCCTCCTCCTCCTTCCTCCCCCCTCGAAACCCGAAGGGAGCGGCCTGTATCCCCATCTAGCGGGTAAGTCGGCCAGTGGGGCCCAGGCCACGCCCATGGGGACAACGCCTCTGTCTGTGGCGAGCAGCGTGCCCAGGTGTTGGAGCCGGCGGGGGCTCTTAGGTGGCCCAGCACTCGTTTCCCCTTCGGTCTGGGTCAGGGGTCGCGGCCCACGGGCCGGAGGGAGTTAAATTTGCGACGGTATGCCTCTGGACTACAAGCCGCAAGGCTGGAATAGCAATAGGGTTATTCCTGGTAGCCCGCGGGCGGGCGGACTCGCATTTACCCGAGTGCCCCCAGCGAGCAGGAGGGGGGGGCGAGAGGTTTTAGGTTCTGGGTCTGGGAAGGCGGTTTGCTTCTTGTCGGCCTCCCGGGGCTTTTTTCAGGCCCCGTGACCTTCAAGAACGGATGCGAAAAATTGCACCGGATACGTCCCGGGAGGGGTCTGCATTTGGCCTCATCCCCCCCTTCTTGACAGCTTTGCTCTGGGCCCAACCAGCTCATACCCCCCGGCCGCTTCAAATACCGACCCCTGATGTTTTGAGCCTGTCACGACGCCAGCATGTCTGGGGCTGCGTCTTCGACGACGACGGCGACCACGACCACGACCACGACCACGACCACGACGACGACGACGACGACGACGACAACGACGACGGCGACGACGGCGACCGCGACCACGACCACGACCACGACCACGACCACGACCACGACGACAACGACGACGAGGACGACGTCGACGACGTCGACGTCCACGACGGCGGCCAAAAAACTTCCCGTCGTGATTTTACTCGCGGCTCTAGGGGGCAGTCGGATGGGCCGAAGACGAGGATCAGCCCGCTCAAGAGCGTCCCGGAGCGCCCTTGGAGCAGCGGCCGCGGCGCCCGATGAATCCCCCAGAGCCGCCGGATCTCTTATATTCTCGGTTTGTTCTCACCCGGTTTTGTCTTCGTCTTGGCTTCGTCTTCGTCTGGGCCGCTTGGCCGCCCCGAGAGTTAGGATGTTCCAACCTGCTTTAGCCTTGGCCACCAGAAAGACCTTACGAGCACCAGGACAGTCCCGAAGCTCGAGCTGAGGGTTTTCGCGTGTCGGGCCCTGGGAGGCGATGCTCGTTCGACACTGTTGGTTTCGGCGCTTCTTTTCTCAGGAGGGAAAGAAACACACAGACACAGTTAATCGGCGATTCCCCAGAAAATATTGGAAAATATGGGAAGTGGGGGGAAGACAAAAACCCAGAAAATATGTGAAAATATAGGGGGATATTTTTATTTGTGTGTATTTATTTGTGTGTCCTTGGGCCCCTTCATTTCCTGGGTGCTCGCCATGATCTCTGGGGCGTGGCCCTCAACAGTACGATGGGCGCAGCGTGCAGCCCGAGAGGCGGAGCTCGGCGAGGGCCACCCGCGCACGCTGGAGGCGGTGGAGCGCCTGGCGGGCCTGCTGCGGGCCGCGGGCAGGGACGAGCAGGCCGAGCCGCTGCAGAGGCGGGCGGTGGAGGGGCGGGAGGACCCGCGGGGGCCCAGGGCCCCAGACCCAGACCCCCTCGAGTCATGAAAAAATCACGACGGGAGGTTTTTCATGATTTTCGGCCTCCGGGGGCCCTTACCGGCCCTCGGGAGCGTCAAAAAACGACTCAGGACGAAAAACCGGTCCTGGGGAATGGGTCCACACCGCTGGGGGTCGACGTCATGAAAAATTCATGACGTCGGGGGTCTGGGGAGACCCAACGCAAGGCAGAGGCTTTTCGCAGAGTTCGTCCCCCAGGGGGGCCCCAGAGATCCAGCGCATTGAAGAAATTAAGGGCGGAGGCGTGTCGCAACGTTCGGCCTCCTTATTATTTAATCGCTTCGCTCATTCCGCCGGCCCATACTGTCTCATGTCTGCCGTTTGCCCGAGGGCCTGGTGTCAATGCGGCGCTTTGGGGGTTCCTGGGGCCGCTTGGGGGACTCCTGGGGCGCTCGGGGGGGCATTTGGGGGGCCTCCTGGGGCCGCTTGGGGGACTCTTGGGGGCCTCCTGAGGGCCTCGTGGGGGCCTCTTGGGGCCTCTTAGGGGCCTCTTGGGGCCTCGTAGGGGCTTCTTAGGGCCGAGGGCTCGAAATGTTGTTTCGTGTTCCCTCTCTGGGGCCCCTTTGGGGGCGTTCTTGGGGCCCTCTTGGACCGTCTTGGAGGCTTCTTGGGCCGTCTTCGAGCCCTCTTGGGCCATCTTGGGGCCCTCTTGGGGGCCTCTTGGGCCCTCTTGGGGCGATCTTGGGGGCCTCTTGGGCCGTCTTGGGGCGTCGGGAAGCCGAAAAGGTGGAAGCTCCAAAATCTCTCAAAAACCTAAGGAAAAACAATGAATTTTGCCTCCGGGGGCCCTCTTGGGAGTGCTCTTGGAGGCCTCTTGGGGCGTCTGGGGGCTATCTTGGGCGTCTTGGAGCGATCTTGTGGCATGTCGGACCCCTCGTGTACCATCTTGGGGGCCTCTTGGGGGCCTCTTGGCCTTTCTTGGGGCTCTCGGGGACGTCTCGGAGCCCTGTTGGTGCGCTCATGGAGCGCTCCTGGAGCGCTCTGGGGGAGTCTCCCGGGGATCGGTCGGGGATCGCCCGGGGTACTTTTCGTCCGGGGACCCCCAGGGGCCGCCCCGCGCGCGCGAACTAGAGAATTGTTAACCAGTTACCGGAGATCTTAGCACGCCTCTGGCCCGTTGGGCCGGCGAATAGGGGCCCTCGCCGGGCCTCGGGACCGTCCGCAAAAAGGACTCGGGATGAGAAACCGGCCCTGGGGAACGGGTCGAGATTCGGGGCTCAAGAGACGGGGGTCAATGCAAACAAGGGTCAGCCAGGGCACCGGATCCTGCAGGATCCTGCGAAGACCCCTTCTGGCTGACGGTTAGCAAGCCGCGAGGCGGCCGCGCATATTGGTTGACCCAGGTTTGCGAAGACCTGCGTTGCAGTTTTTGTTCCTGCATTGCAGTTTCTTGGTTTCCGGCTGACCCGGGTCTGGATTGACCCGGGTCAGAAGATCCCCGGAGAGACTTCTGGGGACCCCGTATTGAAAAAGCACGACATCCCCAGACCTCACCCTGGGACCACTACGATGGTGCGAGGTTCGTCGCGCTTCGCGGCCGGGGCGATGTCAGAGCGAGGCGCGCGGAGTGTGAATGGCGAAGGTAGTTGCCCTAGAAGATGGTGACGGGGTTTAGGGGGAGAGGGCAAGGCTTCTCAGACACACCCCTGGTTCTTAGAAGGCGCGGGCCTTGTCTGTGGATGTACGGCCAGCGCCTTCTGGGACGCAGCCTCCTTCGAAGAAGCGTCCCCCCCTCCACCTGCCCCCTTGTGCGGGCCGCCAGAAGAGTTGGACATCCCAAGGCCTTTGTTAAGTTCGGTCGTTCTCGGACGCCCTCACGGCTGCGCCTCGTCGAGGGCGGTCTGCGCCCCGAACGGCCGCTGGAGGCCCGAATTCTGGCGCGAAGACAAGTCCAGCCCAGATCCAGGGAGGACGCGCGGGCGCCCAAGCTCTTCAGGAGAGTCCGGGCGGGGGGTGCTGATCAGGGGGGAGCGGGTCCCTCAGATCTGGGCGTTGCAACTTTTTCACGCCGGGCGCATTCGTCTGGCTTCTGGCCCGGGACCCTCACAGGTCGACCCGTCTCGAGCAATGATGCCTGAAGATAGGGTCCGCCTCGATACGCCCGTGCTGAAACGCAACACGTGCCGTGCTTAAGACGTCCGTGTCAGTGCGTTGCGTGTTGGCTCAGCGTGTTGGCCCACGTGTTGGCGAACGTCTCGCGTCATACCTACGTTCGCAGTCTACGTGTTGAGCTCCGTATGAACACGCTGCGTGTTGCGTGTTGCGCATCGGGGCAGCTAGTGGCCACCAGCCAGCGACGTGGTAACCCGGGAGTCGCGAGAAAGCCACGACGGGAGCTGTTCCTCCACTTCGGGCCGCCGGGGGCCTGCTGCCGGGCCGGGGGGCCCTCACGCAAGCGACCCCCACGCTGGCCAGCGCGGGCATCGACGCCATCACCATGGTCATGCGGTCGGGGGTCCGGGAGCCCAGACATCCGGCGCCCCGACGAAATCGAGACGGGCGTGCTGACAGAGCTCGGCCTCTCGAGGCCAACCCACAGGGGCACTGGGGGCCGTCGGAGCTTCACCCTCGGCGGGCCGAGGAGCCGGCCCCCTGGGAGGCGGTCGAGGGGTGGGGGGCCCGTGCCTCGGGGGACCTCGGCGATGCCAAGATCTCGGCGATCCCAGGTCCAGTCGAGCTGGGCGACAGTCCTGCCACGGGCGCACGTTCTCGTGGATTCCTGGGGCGTTTCCTCGATGCCGGCCTGCTTGCCTGGCTCAGATCTCGTCGATGTCTCCATGTTGTAAAGTGGGAAAGAGAGAGAGAGAGAGAGAGAGCGGGAAGGCACAGGGGGAGAACGCGACTCACCGACCAGCCACGCAACGCAACGCAACGCAACTCAACGATCAGCCAAATCAAACAAAAGAGCTCGTCGATTCTTGGTCCAGTCGAGCTGGGCGACATTCTGCCGCGGGCGCACTGCCTCGTGGATTCCCAGAGGTTTTCAAGCTGGCCCTGTCCCCGGAGCTCCGACTTGTCTGCTCCTGGCGGGATTCCTCGAGTTCGGCCTCCCCGACCCAGCCCTTGATTCCCGTATGTTTTCGGACGTTCTCGTGGATTCTCGTCGGTTTTCCAGCCTCGGGATATTATCAAGCGGTTCCGCCTTGTCGAGGGCGTTCCAGGGGGGTCAGAATCGTCCCGACCAGCCGCCCGAGGCTCGAATTACGGCCCGAATGCCATCACAAGCCAGATCTCCGACTGCATGATTTTCGACATCGGGGGGGTGTTTTCCTCGATCTCGGCCTGCAGCCCATGGGGCCGTGATGCCCTGACCCCTCCTCGTGGCTCCTCCCCTCTTCGGCGCACCCGAGAGGAGAGCCTGGGGCCCATGCACCCAGACACCTTGACCTCCATCAACAGCCTCGCCCTGCTGCTCCAGAGCATGGGGAGGCACGAGGAGGCCGAGCTCTACCAGGGGGCGGTGCTCGTGCGCGACGAGGAGACGACCACCACCGCTGGGCTTAGAGAATCGCCGCTGGCGCCCCCCACGTGGCCGACCGCGATCTGCCAGCGGTTAAGTTATGCCCCACACGCGGCACTCGAGATCGAGCGCCGCGCGCAGTGCGCCCCTGGCAGGTGGAGGTCGGCACTGCGGCGTCGCCAGGGGCGGCTCCTTCGGCCCAGCGGTGGCTGTTGCCTCTTCTTCGCTCCTGAGGTGCTGAACTGCCGGAACCTGAAGCTGGGGCCCACCCACCCGGACACCCTGGCGTCCGTCGACAGCCTCGCCGGGCTCATGGAGGCGATGGACCGGGCCAGCGAGGCGGAGAGGCTGCACCGCCGCGCCCTGGAGGGCAAGGAGAAGGCCCACGGGAGGGAGCACCCCTCGACCCTGGCGAGCGCGCACAGCCTGGGGATGGTGCTGCAGGAGTCGGGCGGGCCCACTTGCAGACCCGTGCGCTGCAAAAACGTGGTGACGACGGGTGTTCCTCGGCCCCGGGACCGTCAACAAAACGACGCAGGAGAAGACCAGCCCTGGAGAAGTGGTCGAGATCCTTGGGGGACGACGTGGTGAAACAGCTGCCATTTCGGATGAGAGGCCAGGACCATTCAGGGAGCGCTCATGGAGCGCTCTGGAACGGCCGCGGCGCCCGATACATCTTCCTGAGCCGCTGGGTCTCAGGGATCCCCGACTTCTCCCGGTCTCCTTTCGTCCCAGTCCTGGCTTCTTGGGGACCCCCGAAGCGGTGCGGCGACCACACCCCAGACCCCCGACTCCACGATTTTTTGATGACGTCGACCTCCAGAGGTCTCAACTCATTCCCCGGGACCGGCTTTTCCTCCTGAGTCATTGTTATCCGTCCCCCGAGGCCCGGTAAGTGCTTCGGGACGCCGACAACGGCGAAAAACATTCCGTCGTGCTTTTTGTGATGGGCCAGTTTTCCACCACCACCACCACCATAAGTTGGAGAGGGAGGGGGTCCTCTTCCTCCTCCTCCTCCTCCTCCTCCTCCTCCTCCTCCTCCTCCTCCTCCTCCTCCTCCTCCTCCTCCTCCTCCTCCTCCTCCTCCTCCTCCTCTTCCTCCTCGTCCTCCACCTCCTTCCCCCCTCCAACTCGTAGCGGTGGCGGCGGAAAGCAGGCCCACCATTTTTCATGGCCTGGGGGTGGTCCGGGGCCGCGTGGTGGCCGCACGGCTTCCGGGGCCCGCGGGCCGTCATCCGAGGGGCGCCGCGGGGCGATGATCGGCCCGCAGGGCCCGCGGCGGCGGGCGGCGCGGCGGCGGCCCGTGTGCGGGGTGGGGTCTCCGGGGCTGCTCCGAGGTCCCCGCCGCGGTGCGCCGCCGCACCGCTTCGGGGTCGGCGCTGCGGCAGAAAACGTTGCGAAGAAGAGAGGACGCCACGAGCGTCCTAAACTTGGGGCGCTCCGCGCGGATCTCTTGGATCTGCGCTGTAGCGCCCTCGCGGCGCCTCGGGCGCCGCCCCTGGCGCGCCCCGCGCGCCAGGGAGGGGAGTCCAGCTCAGATCCAAGAAATCCGCGCAGTGCGCCACAAGTTTATGTTTATGGCGTCCTCTAAAGTTGCAGCATCGCGTAGCATTGACGACGGGAGCCCTAGAGACCCCAACGTTCTGCTGCATCTTCCGAGCCGGATCGATCTGTGATGGTCCTGTGGCCCCAGATTGGGCGAAAGCGCTCGGTGTGAATAAACTGCAGCGCCCGTTTCGGGATTCCCCAGCCTCGTCCCAGACATACGTTGTCTTGTTCTTGTTCAGACGGGGCCCCCAGAAGTCCCGACCCCTTCCCTAGGGCTGGTCTTCCATCCCGAGTTGACCTCTCGTTTTCTGACGGTCCCGAAGCCTGGCGAGGGCCCCAGGAGGCCGAAGCGGTCAACATCTGTCCGCCGTGTTTTTGTCTGCGACGTCGACTCTCAGCGAGCGGCCCGGGCCCATTCCCCAGGAGCGGCCTCTCCTCCCGAGTCGTTTCTGGGACGGTGCGGCGGCCCGGCGAGGGCCCCAGGAGGCCGAAGACGGCCGAGAGTGGTTCGTCGAGGTTTTTCAGGTTGCCACGGCGCGGGCATGGCTGGGGCTTCGTCTTCGACGACGACGACGAAGACGACGACGACCACGACGACGACCACGACGACGACGAAGACGACGATGAAGCCGACGACGCGACGGCGGCGGCGGCGGCCGCGGCCGCGGCGCGAGGAGACGGGCAAGCGGCAGGAGGCCAGCGCGCTCCTGCGGCGCGCGCTGCAGGGGCGCGAGGCCGCGCTCGGGCCGCAGCACCCGGACACGCTGGCGTCGCTGAGCGCCCTGGCCACCCTGCTGCGCGCCATGGGCCTGCGCGAGGAGGCCGAGCCGCTGTACAGGCGCACGGTCAGACCCAGACCCCGTCGCGCCTCGAGGAAAAAAATCACGGCGGGAGGTGTCTCGCCGTCCTCGGCCTCTTGGGGGCTTCGCCGGGCCTCGGGGCCACCAGAAAAAAACGACTCGGGATGAGCAACCGGTCCTGGGGAATGGGTCGAGACCTCCGGGGGGGTCGACACCATGACAAATAAATCTTGACGTCGGGGGTCTGGGGAGGGCGGGCTGGGCTCAGCGTTCGAGGTTGGAAATGTTCCGGCGTTGCGGCGGTGGTCCGGACCCGGGGTGCTCCTTATAGCAGCACCCTCCCGTCTCCGAGGGCGTGCCCGGGGTGCCAGGATCGTCCTGAACAGCTGCCAGAGAGCAGATTTACGGCTGAAAGCCTGCTCGCGTCGTAGGAACTACGACCGAGGTTGTTTGGCACCTGGTGAACCTGGGAAGCCGGCTGGGGCGCGAAGATACCGCTGGCAAACACGATGAGAAGTCGATCAGAAGTCGTACTCTAGGGGCACATTCGACACCAGCGTTTGAGACTCCTCGGGATTCTAGTGCTTCCGCGGGGCCATCGGGGGGCAAGCACTAAGAAATTGTTGTGGGGCGCCTGCAGGCAGGCCAGCTTCCTGCTAAGCCCACAGTGCTCGCGCTTCGCACGCCGCGGTCTGGGCCAGTGCCTCCGAGAGAAGGCCGAGCCGCTGTGCGGGGCGCGCTGTGAAGGGCTGGGCCCAGACATGCTCGCGTCGTGCTTGGCCGCTTGCGGCTTCCAGGGGCCCTTAAAGTGGAGGCCCATGCCAAGAAACACCCTGCTTGCCTCCAGGGCGCCCTGGGTTTCTTGGGTTTCGTTGATTAGGGTTTCTAGTGGAAGGTTTCTTGCGGAAGGTTTCTTGTGGATCGGCCCCACGGTACCAGGCCCCGTCACACAACGACTCGGGATGAGAAGGGCTGCGCCGCTGTGCGGGCGCACGGGTCAGCGCTGGGCGCAGACCCGCTCGCGCAGAGCGGGCAACAATGCACAAGGGGAGGTGTTATGGGCCGTGCTCGGCCTCGGGAGGCCCTCGCCGGGCCCCGGGACCGTCAAGAGAAACGACCCAGACCCCCTCGGGCAATGAACAAAAACATGACGAAGGGTTTTTTGTTGTTTTTGGCCCCTGAGGGTCCCTGGGGCCGTCAAAAAACAACTCAGGATGAAAAACTGGTCCCCCGGAATGGGTCGAGACCTCCATGGGTCGACGTAACGGAGAAGTCATGACGTCGGGAGCCGGGGGACTCGGGACGAGCAGACTGGGAAAAGGCCGCGCGTGGTGCAACCATAGCCGCGAGCTTCAGACGTTCAGTCAAATCCCAGACATCTGGCTGCTCAATTTTTTTCCACGCGTGGGCCCCGGTGGTCCGGACCACTTCCAGCAGGGCCGGTTCCTCGTCCCGGGTCGATGTCTGGCGCCCCCGAGAGGCCCGGGGAGAGCCCCCGGAGGCAGATCGGGGTCCCCGAAACCGCCCGCTCGAGCGGGCGGTTTCGATAGCGGATAGCATCCCCGGAAGCCGCCCGCTCCGACGTTTCCGGGAGCGTCGGACCTCCGGGCCCGGGGCCTCGGCAAGCCCTAAGGGTCCTCGGACGCCTGGGCTCGCGCCCCGTCGCGGCCCATCTCACGGCACCCCCCCGTCGGAGGGGCGGGCCGCCGCCCCTCCGACGGGCCATGGGAGCGGAGAGGGGGCGAGGCGCTCGAGGACCCGCGCGCCCCCGCGGGCGGGCGCCGAGCAGTGTGCTGGGATGCCTAAATATAGAGCTCGTGTGTCGTCGGCACGGCGAGCGGGGACAAGGGCCAGGGCTCGTTTCGATTCCTCCGATTCGATTCGATTCGATTTCGATGGCCTCCGATTCCGATTCGACTCGACTTGGGATTCCGATTCGGGCCCCCATTTCTCGATTCGCTTCGATCGCCGATCCGACTTATCGATTCGATTTTTGGGGCGCCTGAAGGGCTCGGACGTCTGAGGGCGAGGGCGCGGGCCCGCGGGGGCGCGCACGGGAGCCGTTTTTGTTTGTTCTGTTGTCTTTGGCTCCGGCAAACTTGCATGGCGTGCGGGCCCCCCCTCGCCCCTCTTCAAGCGAGCACCGGCGTGCACGTGCCTTTCGACTTGCGTGCTTTCCGCACGTCAAGTCGTTTGCGGCTTGCTTCAGGATCAGCCCCCGTGCACCCTCCGTCCATGCAAGTAAACTTGCCCGAGTTGCTGTTTTTGTTTCGTGTTTCCAATCAAAAAATCACGGAGGACGAGAAAAGGCTCCCGCGCTCCGATCTTTCGGAGCGTCGGATCTCTGGGATTCTTGCAGCTCCTCTGCCGCCGAAAAAAAAAAAAACAGGAAAGAGGGGCTCCCGGAGGTCTGCGGGCGAGGGCGCGCCGCCACGCAGGGGCGCGCAGGTCCTCTCGAGCGCCCAGACCATCTCCGCTGCCTGGCCCCCTCAGGGGCGGTGGCGCGCCTCGTCGACGGGGGGGGGGGCGCCGCGATGGGGCGCGAGGCAGGCAGCCCGCATGGTAAGGACGGGCAGCCCTCCCAAAAAGGCCCCTGCATCCTCGCCTCCTCCTCCTCCTCCTCCTCCTCCTCCTCCTCCTCCTCCTCAACCTGCATGGTAAGGATCGGTGCCCCTGCATCCTCGCTTCCTCGGTGCATCCTCGGCCGCCTTCCTGGGCCGCGCCCCGCTCGAAGAGGCCTTCGGAGTGGGCGTCCGAGGCCCCTGCATCTTTAGTATCGCGCGTCCCTGTGATACGGGCCGACTGCGCGAGCCCAGGCGTCCGAGGACCCCCAAGGCTTGCCATCCGCCGCGGCCCCAGGCCCAGAGACCCGGCGCTCCTAGGACAGTTTTCGGGGCCCTCTTCGGCCTCCTGGGGGGGCGCCCTCGCAAGGCCTCGGGGGCGTCAGCAAAAAGACTCTTGGCCAAAACCTGGCCCTGCTGGAAGTGGCCCGGAGCTTCGGGGCCCATGTGCATCGAAAAGATTGGAGCAGCCAGGTGTCTGAATGGGGAGCTCCCGACCCCTTCCCGAGGGGCAACGCGAGGCTCATGCGGCGATGGCACGCCGGCGACACCAGCGAAGGCGTTTCAGGTTGACTTCTGCGACGCGGATGCAACAGAAGACACAGTGTCGCCACTGGACCCGGCGGAGTTCAACCTTGAACGATCGGGGCCGAGGTCGATGCAAGATTCAACGATCGGCGCGGTGTCAAATATTTTTGCGCGCGCCGACGCCGCACGGGCCTGATTTCCGTACGTGTTCGTCCCGGAGTCGGTTCTGATTGCCCCAGGGCGCGAGGACGGCCCCCAGAGGGCCGAGGTCGAGGAAAGACCCCGGGCTTGAAGAAATCAGATCGTCCGAGATTTGGGGAGACAGTTGCGCATCGCGGGGCGCGATGCGCGCAGTGGGTGGACCTGCAGACCCAGACCCCCGATGTCATGATTCGTGCACCCAGCTCGGACCCCCTGAGGTCTCGACCCGTTCCCCAGGACAGGCTTTCCAAGCTGAGTCGTCTAGACGGTCCCAGGGCCCGGCGAGGCTGAGTCGCTTCTTGACGGCCTCGGGGCCGCGATCGAGTCAAGGTTCCGCAAGGAGCTCTTATGGATTTCTCAAGGACTCTTATGACGAACGTTCAGGATCATCTTGATCACCATCATCGCCATCATCCTCATCATTATGCTGCGATCACCGGGAAAACGTTTATTATCCCTCCTGGGCCCCGAACTTTCTTATCGAAGATCCCCAGGGGGTCAATGTCTGCAGGTAGTGGTTGCCTTTCTGCGCGCGCCGAACCCGCACGGGCCTGCCGTTGCGCGCTCCCCAGGGGCCCCTCCCCAGGCCCTTGGCCGGTCGAGGAGCGGACCCAGGGTGGAGCACCTGGCCCGCGTTGCCGAGCACCTCTGGGGCCAGTGGCACGCTGCTCGGGTTAAGTCGGGCGTGTCCCTCTGCAGGAGGAATCGTAATTTTCAACTAGTCAAGGAATAGTCTGGAGATTGTTTTTGATTATCTCTGACAGGGTCTGAGTATTTTTTGACAATTTCTTAGCTGTCGTCCAAAATCCGCCTGTGAGAGGACATGCCCGACCTAGTGCTCGGGCCCTCTGGCCGGCCAGAGATTCAGGATCGCTGCTCCTGCCCAGGGGTCGACCAAAGCGAAAGTCTGGCAATCTCGTGGATCGTTTTCGTTTTCTCTCCGTTCTCGCTTTGTCTTCAGTCTCGGGTCCACCACGCTGCTCGGGCTTCCTGGCCGGTCAGACATTGATGATCACTGCTTCCTTGATCATTGGATGCTCGAATTTTTCAGTCGCGACCGAAGAGGTCGGTCGCAACCGGTTTGGCTTCAAATGCGGGCATCGGTCGCGGACGATTTGCTTCAAACTCGGTCGCGACCGCGGCCGACTAGTTGCGTTCCGTCGCGATCAGTCGCGACCGATTTGGAATTCCGATCGGTCGCTGCCGATCGCGACCGACAGCAAATCATGGTATTCCATGATTTGGGTTCTGCTGTCCAGAAGCAGGCGGGTGTTGGAGGACAGGGAGGCGGCGCTCGGGCCCACGCACGAGGCGACGATGACCTCGCTCAGCGCCCTGGCCAGCCTGCTCCGGGCCATGGGCAAGCTGGAGGCGGCGGAGCCGCTCCTGCGGCGCGCCCTGGAGCTCGACACAGAATAAGAAAACATAACAGTAGTGATAATATTAATCTCATGATTAATTAGAATGGTACGGATTTAAAAAAAACTTTAAGAATAGCACATATACAGCAATAGTAGTAATGCTTTTCAGACGAAGAAGAAGAAAACAAGATGAAGCAGTACCCCTCAGATCTGTCTGGGCGTTGCGGTTTGTCACGCCGGGCGATCTCGCCCGGGTTCGGGCCCCGGGAACCCCGCATATCCATCAAGCCGGAAAAATGACGCAGGCGGATGGGGTCCAGGGTTCCGGTCGTGAGGTTCTGCGAGGTTTGCATTTTTTATTTCGACGTCGGATCACAGGGACGGCTGGTTCGCCTCGTGCTGTTCGGCGGCGACCCCGCCGTCGGCGTTCAGCGTTAATCGCCGCCGGACCCAGAATCGGTCGATGCTGGATGATCTGAAGTTTTGGGAACGGCTGATCGTTCGAGGTTGAACGATCCCCGGGGTGTCAGAAGCCAACGCCGGTGTCGCCACGACATCAACTTGCCGTGCAAACATGAATTTTCGGAGCCCTCGCGAATTCTTTGGATCGGCGCTGGGGCCCCAAGACCCTGAGATCTAGGCATTGCATTTGTTTCACACCGCGCGTTGTCGCTTGGCGTCGGGCCACAGGACCACCACATATCGATACGAGTCGAAACATGCGTCAGTTATATGGGATCTGAGCAGGGGTCCAGCGCGCAAGGGAAGGGCCTTGAGATCCGGCGTTGCGAACAAATGCAATCTCGCGGAAACGCACGACCGGAGCTTTATTCTTGCCGCCACAGGGCAGTTCTTTGTTCAATTCTGGCGAGTTTAATTTGACTTGAAAGGAGGGGGGGAGGGAGGGGGGGGAGCGTGTTGAGGCCCGAATGGAAATCTGGACGTCCCGCAGTTCGGGACAAACTTGCACACCTGTTCGGCCCAGCGCTGTTGGAAAAGGCGGCGGAGGGGGTCGAGGGGCATGCCATGCAGGTAAACTTGCGTTAGTCTACGGAAAGAGAGTCTCAAACTAGTATTTTGCGACGGTGCCGCCCAAAAATGCCCTGGATGCGAAATATTGAAACTGGTGATCTTTCTGTTGGTGGAGGCGCCTTTGGTGAACCACTAAGTGCCCCCAGTGCGCTATTGAGATTTGGCAATGGGGTGCATGGAAATCGCACTCCAGCGAAAACCTAGTTTGTCGTACTGTTTACTTTGGCGGTGGCGTCGTCAAAAACTGCGTCACGGAACAAACTAAGCCACATATGCGACAGAATGATCAGACCCCATATTCTGGATTCATTTTTCGACCCAGGTCGATCAGTGGGGGCTCTGGGGCCCGAAACCAAGCGAAGACGCCTGGTGTGAAAAGGTTGCAACGCTTGGATCCCAGGGGGGGGGTCCGTACTGATCTCAGAACCTGCGCGGACCTCCGAACGCTCGTGTCCATGCCAGCGTGTTGTTCCTCCCAGGAGTGCCGCGAGGCCACGGTGGGTCCGTCCCACACCTCGACGCTGGCCGCGCTCAACAGCCTGGCGCTGCTGATGCAGGCGATGGGCAAGCTGGAGGACGGGGTGCTGCCAGACGTCGCAGGGCAAACGGCATAAGTTACCCAGCAATGCGCCCTGACAGCAGCAAAGGTGGATGGGGCGGGTTGAGGAGCTGGAGGTCGGCCAGAGGAGACGTGCAGTCCCATAGGTCTCCCTGGAGGCTTCCAGGAAAGATGCGCAGCCGGGACAGGGGTGCGCGCACGGCCACGTGTCCTTTTTGCATGCGTCTGCACCCATCGGTCGTTGAAAGTAGGAGTTTTTGGAACTCCAGATTGCAATCTGCTTTAAGCGCTTTCTTACTTCAATGATCGAGTGGCGCCACCTTTTCCGTCCTCTTTCGGGGGCGGGCGGACACCCAATCTAATTTCAACGCCTTCCTACTTCATGTTTCTACCCACTTCTTCCGACCGATGGGTACCATATCAGATGATCGCCTCCTGCTCCTCTATTGCATGGCCAAGTCGCTCCCACAGCACCCCCGTTTGGGCCTTTTCCGCTGGCGCAGACTCTCCCTGCCTCGCCGCCGACGCAAAAAGTTTCACAGGATCGTGGCCGTCCGGACCAGACATGTAGCAGGAGGGAAAAATCACACAGACACAATTCATCGTCGATTTCCCCCCAAAAATGAGAAGTGGGGGGAAGACAAAAACACAGAAAATGTGGGAAGATATGGGGAATCCTGAAATTTGTGTGTATTTATTTGTGTGTCCCAGGGCCCCTTCAATGTAGCGGACATTGAGGCACATTGTGGAGAAGCCTCCGGCGAAACGGCCGCCGGACCAGGCGGTCTAGGACTCCCCGTCCTCCCTGTGGGACTCTTCTGCGTTTTTTGTTCACTCCATCTAGGACCCTCTAGCGAAACGCGATCAGGTAAACTCAGTGTCCCTGGATTTGCTCACTGATGGCAAAAGTGTGGGTACGCAAATGCATGTTGAAGTTCCGATGTGCGACAACTTGTAAGTTGAATTGTGGGTCCACTAGTGTGCATCAAATGCGATGTCCATTCCCCCCTAACCTCCTCATCGCCCGAAGGGTGGTCTCATCGGTAGGAATAAGGTCTAGGATCTCCGCGCGGATTTCTTGGATCGGCGCAGGACCCCGCTCCCTGCAGATGGTGCGTTGTTTTTCCAGCGTCGTCGTCAGCGTCGTCGTCGTCTTCACCGTCGTCATCGTCGCTGTCGCCGCCGTCGTCGAGGATCGAGGGTGTAGATGCGAGGAGTCGAGGTTTCGTCTTTGTCGACGCCGTCGTCGGCAGCCTCGTTGTCGTTCCGTTGCCATTGCCTATGTCGACATGACCGTCGCCGTTGCTGTTGTCGTTCTCCAGGGTCAAGGGTCGAGGATCAAGATCTCTTGGCGTCTCTGGGCTTTGAGGGGGGGCCTCGGGGGGCACCCTCGCCCCAGGGGCGGCGCCAGAGGCGCCGCCCAGGAGGCGCGCGGAGGCGCCCACGGCGCGCCCCGCGCGCCAGGGAGGGGGGCCCATCTCCGATCCAAGATGTCCGTGCGGGCCTTCAACACACTCAACTGTGCTCCTGTCTTCTGCGCCTGCTGGTGCTGCCGCAGGCTCGGGGATCGCAGCTTGTGCGCGCGTTCGGCCCCCGCCGGGCCTCCGGATGCCACCAGGGACCTCCCGGGGACCTCGGGAGGCCTCCAGGGGAGCAGGGCGGCGGCCCCGCCGCCCGCAGCGGCTGCGGTTTTTTGTCCAGGGAGGTCCAGGTGGCCTCACTGGAGAGGTGGGCTGTCAATCCGTCGCCTTCGTGCGGTCCTCTGTCGGTTCGTCCTCGTTCGTGTCGCCCTCGCTCATCTCGTTCCCCTCTCGAGCCTCGAGCGAGCGCGAGCCTGGACGGATGGAAGCGGGCGAGCCGAAGCGGGCGAAGCGAGATGCGGACGACGTGCAGCGGACGGGATGGGATTCGGACGACCTGGAGCGGAACCCCAACCTCACGAGCCGAAGGGGCCCCCAGGGGCCCCTTAGGCTCGTCGCCCAGGGGCCCCAGGGGCCCCAGGGACCTCAGGGGCCCCACAGGGGCCCCACAGGGGCCTCAGAGTCTCCTAGAGGGCCCCTGGGCCCCTGGAGGGGCCCAGGGGCCCCACGGCGGCGCGAGACGCCAGGAAGCCTGCCCCGTGGGGGCCGTGGCCACGGCCTGTGCGCCCCCGGGGAGGAGGCCGAGGCGCTCTACCAGCGGGCCTTCGACGCGCGGGAGGCGACGCAGGGGCTGGTGCATCCAGGCGGGCCAGCGGGCCGGCGGGGCGGACTCAGACCCACTTCGAGTGATGACAAAAATCTGGACGTTTTTTTTCCTAAGTTTTCGGCCCCTCATGGGGCCCTCGCCGGGCCTCTCGGGGCCGTCACAAGGAGCGGCTCCCTGTGGAAAGCCAGTCCCGGGGGAATGGGTCGAGGCCTTGGGGTGTCGACGTGAGGAAAGAGTCATGGCGCATCGGGGGTCTGGGGAAGGAGGTGGGGGACGGCGGGTTGCTTGCTCTCCTCCCTCTGCACCTCCACACCTCTCTCCTTCCCTCCCTCCCTCCCTCCTTCCTGCTCCTTCCCCTGACGCATTGGCGGCGAGCGCGTCCACGCGTAGCCGCAGCCTCCCTCGCGATGGTGTTCGGAGGTCAGACTTGCGCGATCTCCCCTCTCCTCGGACAGGCGTCGCGACCAGTGGTAACATGGATGCGCCCCGCTGCGGCGGGATCGTGCCAGCGTGCCAGCGTGCACGCAGCAGCAGCAGCAGCAGCAGCAGGACCTGAGTCGTAGTGATGTTTGTCGACGGTGGTCCTGCCATCGCTCGGACCTCTGCATCTTTGCTCGGCGAGGCCCGATGAGACCAGCGCCCGAAAATCTGGAACATCTCTGAGCAGCCTGGGTCCTCTGGAAAAAGAGCACGCACGAAACAGAGCGATGTACGGGACATGGGCGTCCCCAGAGCTCCCGACCCCGACCCGGTGGCTGGTCTTTAGCGCCCCGGGTAGTTTTTGATGGCCCCGCGGTGGCCCCCGAGGCGGCCTCCTGAGACACCACGTCTCGAGAGGAGCCGCCTGCGTTGGGGATTGCAGGTCGAGCGGCTACAATCATGTTAAGACTCTTCGCTCTTACACTAACGCGTGCGTGTCAATCAGCATGTCTTTCCCAAGCACTGGATACCCGCCCTCTTTGTATTCGATCGTACCCCCTGCAGGGGGGACATCTTTCTTCCCTGCCGCGTGTAATTGGCACAGCCTGAAAGCACATCAAGCACAGAAGTATTGGAAAAGGGGAGCGATGAGGAGGGGACTAGGGGAAGGGAGGTAGGAGGATAGGGAGGGAGGGAGAAGAAGGAGGACGACGCCCCTAAACAGGAGAACCCATCAAAACGGGAGGAAGCCACTCAGTGCTGCAAAGGGGCCAGGAAGAGCAGCGAGAGGGCCACGAAGAGCTACACCGGGGCCACGAAGGTCAGCGAGGGGGCCACGAAAGGCGACCGCGTGGCCAGGAACGACATCGAGGGGCTCAAATGGCGGGGCCCCGAAAGGCATCGAGGAGGCCACGAAGGCAGCGGCGGGGCCTTCAAGTCCGCCTGCGGTATCGCGGAGGGCAGCGAGGGACACGGGAACGGGCGAAGAGCAGCGAGGGGCGGCTGCGAGCCTCACAGGGCGGGTCCGGCGGGCGGATCCTGGCGGGCGGGTTGAGCGGGCGGGTCGCGAATGCAGGAGTCTTGGGAAGTCTCGGGCGAGAGCCCGATTCCCAAGTAAACTATAAGGAAGTCCAAGGCGAGAGCGCAATTCCTGAGTGGCGAGAGCGCGTCGCCTCAGTCAATTGCAAGGAAGTTTCAGTCGAGAGCGCGATTCTCGAGTAACTTGCGAGGAAGTCCCATGCGGGAGCAAAGGGGGGGCCCAATGCATTGTGAGAAAGCATCCGGCGGGAGCCGTTGAACTCTCACTTCTGAAGAATTATTATTGTTGATCCCCCCTCACCAGTGCATTCTGTTTTTTCTCAAATAAAGTGTGCCCCTCGACGCTCGCACCCTGTTTTTGGACAGGGAAGGTCTCGTTGCTCAAACTGTGCCCTTGGCCCCCCGGATTACAGCAACAACAACGGCTCCCGCTTGGGAGTTCCTCCAAAATTACTCAGGACCCCCGCTCCTGAGATTTCCTCATAATTTACTCAGGATGGGTGCTCCCGCTTGTGGCTTCCTCGCAATTTAGCCATGACCCCCGCTCCCATCTGAGACTTCCTCACAATTTACTCCTGAACGGCGCTCCCGCTTGAGACTTCCTCGCAATTGAATTAAGACTTCCTCGCAATGTAATCAAGACCCCCGCTCCCGCCAGAGAACCCTTCACATTCTATTTCGGAATTGCGCTTTCGCTTGTGACTTCCAAATTTATTCAGACATCGCGCTTTCGACGCTCAGGAAACACGCTGCGCCAAGGACGCCGCTACAATTCATTTAGTAATCGTGCCTTCGCCATACTCAGGCATCCCGCTTGAATGTCCCACCCGCCCGACCCGCCCGTCAGGGGATCGCCCGCCCGTCGTGGGCTCCCGCCCGAGACTTCCTTCAGGAACGGCGCTTTCGCCTAGGACTTCCTCGAACATTCACGCTCTTACCTTCCTGCTCCTCTTCCCTCTGCCTCCTCCCTTTTCCCTTCTCTCTCCCTCCTCTCTTCCCACATCCTTATGCCTCTCTGCCCTATCCCCTCTCCCTCCTCTCCCTCCTCCCTTCTCCCCCCCCTCTCTTGCCTCATCTCTCCCTCTTTCTTTCTTTTTCTCTCTCTCTCTCTCTCTCCCCTCTCTTTGTCGCTCTCTTTCTCTACCTCTCGTATCTGTTTTTGTTGTACATTTTTTTTTTTTTTTTTTTTTTTTTTTTTTGTTTTTTTTTTTCTCTCTCTCTCTCTCTCTCTCTTTCTCTGCCTCGAATCAACCGCCTCCCTTTTCGCTCCCTCTCTCCTGGCGTTTTCCCTGTTCCTTCGTCCCTCCCCCTCCCTTCCTCCCGCTCTCCCTCGTTCTCCCCCTCCTTTTTTTGCAGGGCCCACACCAATTCCAATGGCGGGCACATGTACGCTCACGAAGGATTGTCCGCCCGCTCAGGATTGCCCGCCTGTCTAAGCCCGCCGCCCCCCCGCAAATAGACATAATCCCCCCAAAGGGGGTGTGATCGAAGACGTTTCGAGGGTGTGGGGAACTCGTTTTGAATGACACACGGGCAAGTAAGAGCGAACAGTCTTACAATGATTGTTGCTATTAAATTTTCACTTCTGAAGAATAATTATTGTTGATCCCCCTCACCAGTGCATGCTGTTTATTCCCCATCAAAGTGTGCCCCTCGACGCTCGCACCTTGTTTTTGACAGGGAAGGTCTTGATGCTCAAACTATGCCCCTGGCCACCCGGATTGCAACAACAACGGCTCCCGCCTAAGGTTTCCTCCAAATTTACTCAGGACCCCCGCTCCCGCCTGAGACTACCTCACAATTTATTCAGGATCGCTGCTCCCGCCTATGGCCTCCTCGCAATTTAGCCAGGACCCCCGCTCCCATCTCCCATCTTAGACTTCCTCACACTTTATTCCGGAACGGCGCTCCAGCTTGAGACCGTTTCGCAATTGAGCCAAGACTTCTTCGAAATGAAACCAGGACCCCCGCTTCCGCCAGAGAGCCCTCGCATTTGTTTCAGGAATTGCGCTCTCGCGTGTGACGTCCATACAATGTATTTAGAATTCGCGTTTGCGACGTCTGGAAACACGCTGCGCCAAGGACGCCGTCACAATTTACTTAGAAATCGCGCTCTCGCCATATTCAGGCATCCCGCTTGAATGTCCCACCCGCCCGACACGCCCGTCAGGGGATCGCCCGCCCGTCGTGGGTTCCCGCCCGAGACTTCCTTCAGGAACGGCGTTTTCGCCTAGGACGTCCTCGAACATTCACGCCCGTACCTTCCTGCTCCTCCTCCCTCTCCCTCCTCCCTCCCCCCTCCTCTCCGCAGTGCTCTCTCCTTCCTCTCTTCCCTCATCCTTATGCCTCTCTGCCCTATCCCCTCTCCCTCCTCTCCCTCCTCCCTTCTCCCTCCCCTCTCCTGCCTCATCCTTCCCTCTTTCTTTCTCTCTCCCCCTCTCTCCCTCTACCTCTCTTATCTGTCAGTATGTCTCTCTCTCTCTTTCTCTTTCTCTCTCTCTCTCTCTCTCTCTCCCTTTCTGCCTCTTCTCAGCCGCCCCCCTCTTCGCTCCTTCTCTCATGGCGTTTTCCCTATTCCTTCGTCCCTCCCCCCCCGTTCCTCCCACTCTCCCTCGTTCTCCCCCTCCTCGACTTTGCAATGCCCACAAAAATTCAAACGGCGGGCACATGTACGCCCACGAAGGATTGTCCGCCCGTTCAGGATTGCCCGCCTGTCTAAGCCCGCCGCCCCCCGCAAAGAGACATAATCCCCCCAAAGGGGGTGTGATCGAAGACAAGAAGGGCGGGCTTCGAGGGTGTGGGGAACCCGTCTTGAATAGCACACGGGCAAGTAAGAGCGAACAGTATTAGAATGATTGTTGTTGTTGAGTGTTAATTTCTACAGAATTATTCTTGTTGGACCCCTTAAAGGCGCCCTGGCGCTGTCGCCGAGGCGCCAACTGCATTTTCATTGAAAATGAGGCTCACGTTCGTGCGGTTTGGGGGACCGCCAAAACCGCCCCCCCCCCCCCCAAGCAACAACAACGCTCCCGTTCGAGTTTTTTCTTCCTTTTTACCTCAGGGCTGGTGTTCTCGCTCGCCGCCGAAAGCAGCTGCGTCAACAAAACCAGCGCTCCCATTGGAGACCTCCTCCCCTCTTGCCTGTGACAGGCGCGCTACGTGTTCTCTCATCGGCGCCGCCCCCCCAACAACAACCCTCCCGCTCGAGACCGCCTCTCTCTTTTACTCAAGGCGGTGCTCTTGCTCGCCGCCGTCCCGACAAAACCAGCGCTCCCGCCCGAGACTTCCTCTCGTTTTGCGCTGGGTGCTCTCTTTTGAATTGGCGCCGCTCCCAGCAATAACATCGCTCCCGCTCGAGGCGTCTTCCCCTTTTCCCCGGGACGGTCGTGTTCCTCGCCGCCGACAGCCCCCGTCCCGACAAAACCACGGCTTCGGCTCGAAATTCCTCCCTTCTTACTCAAGGCGGTGTTCCCCCCGCCGCCGACAACCGCCGTCCCAAAAAACCAGCGTTCCCGCTCGAGACTTCGTTGTATTTTACGTTGGACTAGCGCCCTAGTCTCTTCAACATCGGCGCCGCCC